CCGCCCCCCCACTCTGTCCCTGTCATCATGGCGGTGCTCCACCACCTCCAAGGAGCGGGGCTGGGGGGTGAGGCCAGCTGGCTCCCCCACTCTGTCCCTGCTCTGCTTCCTCTGAGGAACAGGCCGGGGGGGGGCGAGGCCAGCAGTACTGGCCTCCCCCCCCCGGTTCTGTCCCCTCTGTCCCCACTGTCATGGCAGCACTCCACCGAACTGCTGCCTCCTGTCTGTAGCGCTCTCGCAGCACTCTGATTAGTTGTTTCAGTAACCAATCAGAGTGCTGTAAAAGCATTACAGGCAGACAGACAGACGGACTAAGCCCTTTATTATATTAGAATATTAAATATATATATATATATATATATATGGTTACTGTATATATATTTAATATTCTCTCTCTCTCTCTCTCTCTCTCAAGTTCCCACTGCTTTGGGACAGGAAATAAAAAGCAAGTTCACAAGAAGTATATCCATCTGGCATATGGTGGCACCTGTGCATGTCCCCAGGCTATCTAAAACTTACCTTTGGCCATTTTTTTTATAAACTCGTGCTGCATGATTCCTGATATGTCAAATTTAAGATTCCTTGCAATCCAAATATATATAAATCAGTAGGGTTGGAGTGTTGTTGTAGCTCTGATGATATAGGGAACATGTGAGAAGTAAATTTTGTTTGGCAATATCTTTTATCGAGTCAGCTGTATAGTTGGGAGAGAAGCTATACAAGCCTTCAGGCCTCAGGTCTGGGAAGGAAACAGCTAAATATCAGATAAAATCATAACTTCCTTAAAATGTTTCTTCCTCATAAAAGCTGTTTTCTCAGTCTGAAGCAATTTAAAAATAAGAAGGAAATAATTTTAAGAACTTATGAAAGATGGCACTTTTCCTCTTCTGGAGGTTATCGTGTATTTTTATTTACAGAACAGAGTACTAGTTTGGCATGAGTTGCACCAATATCATTCTGTCGAGGCCAAGAGGACCCACGTCTACTGTAGGAAGTCCTCTGTTCTTAGTATCTTCCAGTGCTTAGTTTCTCTGAGAAAACTGCCAAGAAGAACAGTATGCAGTACAAAGTATATTAGTGGGTTATTTTGATATGAGGCTTTGTTTTACTGGAATAGAGTTGACATCACCCAGCTCTTATTTATTATTCAACACCATCAGATGGAACAAGACACCATCCAGAACCTATTTATTACTCAACACCATAAAAAGGAACAGTTTCTTGGTCCCAGGAAGTCAAAGATGAATTTGAAGCTGTCACCTAAAGGCATCCATGCTTTTCCCAGAGGTTTGGAAGTGAGCCCTTACCTCCTCAGATACAGTTTTAAACAAGTTACAGGGGCCCCCCAAAAATCTCATCATTCAAACGGTGAATGCCTGGAGGGATAGCTCCTGACCTCAGGGAGGGCAACATGAAGCGGGGTCTGAATGGAGGCAGTTTCCAGCCTTTTCAGCACTTGTGGAAGGTGCCAGTGCCTCCCTCAGGTTGAAGAGACCCTGGTAGGAACCGAGGCCAGCGCTTCCCCTGCAGTTTCAACATGGGTGTGAAGGGATGTGTGAACTGAACGGGAACAGTCATGTCAACCTTTTCTCTCTGGCCCTCTCTTAAACCGCCGGGGGTGGACCTCCCATCCGTGCCTAGAGCAGAGTAAGCTCAAACTCACTGGGTGGCAAAGCGTGGGCACCGGGCACCCAGCGGGGAGGCAAGGGGAAGGGGAAAAGAGACCACCCGTGAGGAGGGGGGAAGAGCTGGGAGGAGGGGACGGATCCAGAGCAGGGGGCAAGCGGCGAGGGAAGGGAGGGGACGGGGCTTGGAGGAGGGGAGTCGGGGAGGAGCTGGCAGCGGCCGCCGCGAGACTCTCCGGGGGGGGGCACGGGGGGCCGGGGGGCAGCCCCGCCCCC